TTTTTGATTTACATCCAAATCTCATTAAAAGTTATCTCGAGGACACCAAGTGGGGGGGGGGGGTAAGAAAATTGTGCCCCCTCTTTTACTCTTTAAGGGGGGCCTCGGGACCATGAAAATCTCAGGGTCCCTTCAGGAAACCTTCAGGGTCGATCACCTGGTGAACCCTGAGAATCTACGTTAATTTTGCCTCACTTTAGGGGTCAATCTCACGTGAAATTTGTCGTACTTTTTAATTTGAATGCAGTCGAATCGCAAGTGTACCGAAAACCTCGACTTTCAGGATTTCGGTGTATGAAATTCGGACTCCTTGGAGTCGATTACCAACGCAACCTCGCGATCCTCGGCTTCGTACGACCTAAATAACCCGAGAAAAAGGCCTGGTATGGACACCCTGTACATCAAAAGTGATGTGTGATATACCAGTAGCAAAAGCTTCTCTCCTCAAACACATTCAGATTTTCTGCACTTTTGAATTTACAAGACTACACTATGTCAGGGTATGCTAATGTATCCTGACATATTTGATCAGGCTTTCAAATTGTCAGGGATTAAGGTCGATGGGAGTTTGTTTCTGCAGATCCACCTGTACGCTCCTTGAATATTTGTTGCCACCACCGAGATTCGAACCCAGGACCTATTGGTCTAGAGTCAGATGCGCTGACTGCTAGGCCAACCTGGCTGGCTATCTAGTATCATTGTATCTTGACATCTTGCTCAACCCCCCCTCCTCCTTTGTAATCCCTTTGTCACTCACCTCTAGACCCCCTCTTTCCTCGAGGTGGTTGACATAATTTACGCAGTTCGTGTCTACCCTTCTGATGAAAAAATAAATCTAGTAGTGAAACAGGGACTTATGTGGGTGATTTCAAATAAGGGTCCAATTCCAGGTTCTATTTTCTCTCAAAATTTTTTTGGGAATTTTGGAGCAAACCAAACTTTATTTTGACTATCATTAGGTGTAGAATTAGGAAATATAGCTCGTCAAGCTTAATAGTTGGGCTTAAATCCGAATTTCCACCGTCACGTGTATCACTTCCCAAAATTTGCTCTAATTTTTCCTGATTTCCCAAATTTTCATCTCAGAGGTGACATAATTTTTTTAATCGAAAGTTGAACATAATTTTCATGAAAGCATCGTCGAGCACCAAATTAAAGCATAATTGAAAAATGTAACCCTTTCATATCTTGCAGAACTAAAAAAAATTGAGAAAAATTCCATCTGTCATGAAAGATATCTGAGGCTTATTCTGCTTGTCATTTAAGCAGTTCCGTCTGTTTATCGAAATGCGCACTGTTTTCCTTTAACACGAGAAGAAGCTTTCATTCCTTGGAATATTGCAACCTTAAATGGATCAAAAACACTGAATTTTAAAACTTCGAGGGGGTGTGTACCCACTGAGGTGGAAATAAAGCCGGGGAAAAGTTTGAGAAAATGCATTAACATAACAATTACACTGGTCAAGGTTTTTTTGGGGGGGATTTGTCGAAGATTTGCCAACGGTTTCGGAGTGAAATTTTGGTGCTGAATCTGAAGATCTCCTCCATTTACCTGTATCAGTGCGATTTATCCCGGGAAAGCTCGGAATTTTTCCTTAAAAATCTAGCTTTTCCAGAAGAGTCAATTTAGCCGGGAGAATCTGTTTACGATGGAAAAAACCTACGAATTTTTAGATTTTGTAGCCTAAGATACATGAGAAACCATGTATTGCACCTTACTAAAATTTCCTTTCTTTTCCTATTACCAAGGTTTTCCGGTCCAGTCGGAGATGGAAAATTTCATGAAATTTATTGAAACTTTTGGGGATAGATTCAGGAAGCTAAAAAACGCCTTGAAACAGTGATTCTTAATTTTGAAATTTTCTACCCCAAGCCTAAAACATTCGCGCGTTACAAATGTTTTCGTCTAGTTTAGAGATTAGGTTGGGGTTTTTCTCTCTAAACTCCCCTTTTTGCCCCCTCTTTGTGTCTGGCACCTTCAGTAGAGTAGCATAATACCGCAGCACCAACAGGAAGACCATCTGAAACGCTTTCAGACTTCCAAAGGTTTAATCAATAATTCGAAAAAAAAAATAAATTTCAACTTTTGTGAAATTTATTCGAGCCTTATGAAATGTCACTTTCCATCTTTGGGTCCAATTTCATGAAAATCAATTAATTAGTCACCGAGATAGTGTATTAAGCCACGGCCGCCATCTTAGATTTTCGAATCTTGGTAATTGTCTAAAATTTTCAGTTTCCCGTCAAAAATTATCAATGGGTACCAAGTTTCACTTGAATCGATTGATTGGGTGCTGAGATATAGTCCAGTCATTTGAGGATAATAATGACCCCTATGCGGTTTTAAGAGCGGAACTTTTTTTCTCACCTGATTTCTCATCCATAGAGGGTCCTTAACGAGAATCCAAATTTGCGACATGGAAAAATTATGGGAACCCCCCCAAAACCCCCAAAATCGCAAAAAACGGCCAAAAATCGGCGATTTTCTCTCGTTTTTCGGCTAATATCGCTAAAATCGCTGGTTTTTTTGAGTAAGTACGTAAGGACTTATCTGAAAGTAGATAAAATTACGGACATTTTCCACCCGGTCCGAAATTTTTCTGATGAAAAATATGCCTACTAAAAGGTTGCCAAAAAAAATCCCAAAATGTTCAAAATTTCACTTTTTTAAGGTTTTTTGCTTGTAATTTTTTTTCCAGCAATTTTAGAAGGTAAGTGTATACGTCCAAATGAAAGTACATCCAAAATGCTACAATTTCATGTATCAGACTTATCCCTAGGGCGTAACGAGACGGCTCCGCGGCGTTGCCAAAGTTGCGATCTCCAAGGGCATTTTCCGCGGCGGTGCATTTCACGCAACCGCTCCACTCTCCCACCGGTCCAAGTGAGAAAACACGGGGTTCGGGGCCG